GAGAGGAGGGGAGGTTTGGGAAAGGAGTGGGGGAGGAGGAGGGGAAATGTGGTGTAGGAGGGGGTGGGGAGATTTTTTCGAATTCAAATCTTTGAATAAATAATATCTTGATAACGATTCCGAACAATTTTACGTTTTTGATAGAGCAGAGAGAAAGGTTAGTTTAGGACCTTATGGTATTAGTAAGTAAAAACGTTCTTTCTGCTCAGTACATAGTTTTGAGAAATTTGACGTCAAAAATTGTGAGTTTCATATCACGTCAAGCTTTTTTCGAATGCAATTCTTTAAATGAAAACAACTGCGAATTATCTTTCGATTGTGATAGCGCGGATAGAACGATAGAACATTTAGTTTCTGACCTTATGATCTGAGTAACTGAAAACGACCAAAGATGCCGTACAAAACCTTGTCATTCTAAGGTAGAGACCTTTTGACCAAATTCCCGCCAATCATGATTGTTAGGGAAAAAAGCAAACCACACTAGTACACCCACCAACCATCCAGTCTCTCACTCTCACTTGTTGACAATATTCCCGCCCATGGCCCTGACCAGGGAGTCGGTCCTGTTGTCCAGGTAGTAAGCAGCGAAGCTTTTGGCATCCACTGTGGCCTGCGAGGCGCCAAGGAAGAGCGAGCCAATGTTGGTACTGAAGGAGAAGCCGGCAGCGACTTTGAGGGCCGTCTCGCTGTATGACGAGTGGTTCTTGATGTCTGTCTTGATCTGTTCTTCCTGGAAACAGACACGAAGAGAAGTTGCAATCAAGCAGTAAATGGCGGAAGGTTCGGGTGGCCATTTGCTTTTCCTGTATACAGACACATAGACACCTCACAGTCAGGCAACAAATTATGTCTATAGGTTACTGTGGTTATTTGTTCTTCCTGTAAAAGATGAGTCAAAATCAAGCAATAAGTGGCTGTAAGACGAGTGGTTCATGATGTCTGTCTTGATCTGTTCTTCCTTGAAAAAGAAAAGTAGATACGTCACAATCATAGATGTGAGTACATAGCATTGTGCACTTAGATACGTAAATGAATGAATGAATGAATGAATGAATGAATGAATGAATGAATGAATGAATGAATGGATGAATGAATGAATGGATAAATGAATGAATTGATAAATGAATGAATGAAAGAATGAATGAATAAATGAACACACGAATAATTCACCGGATGGATGAATGAATGAATGAATGGATGGATGAATGAATGAATGAAGGAAGGAACGTACTCATAATTCATCGAATGAATGAATGAATGAATGAATGAATGAATGAATGAATGAATGAATGAATGAATGAATGAATGAAATGCCAACCTGTATGATTGCGGCTCCGGCGTCCACACCAGTGCTGACATGAGTTCCAAACTCTCTCACCAATTGCTGGGATTCGAACCTGAGACCACACACAACACTTACTCACATACAAAATTGGTCTTTTAAAAGATTTATCTGAAGTTCAATGTCAGAGCAGATTAAATGTTACGAGATCCTTTTCTCCAATCAGCATAAAAGGAACGGTCCGTTCTGTTGTTGTTTTTTGATATACGAAACGACAAGGGGGTGGTTTAGTCGAGATTCGGATCTTTATTTATGGGCCAATTTTGTTTTAGCGTGTTTTGCAACATGGACCAAAGAAGAAGGACCCATAATTATAGGCCTGCTACCCCTCATATGACTTAACATGAAGCTGCAAGCGCCGTAAAACTTTTAACAATGTGAAACATAGACTAGGCTGGCTGGCAATTGGACTGACCATTTATTTATTGTTGGTTACGCCATTAACACAAGTGGATCTCAAACACTCTGCTAAATTGTAGGTACCATCGAGGAATAATGATACTGATAGTACCGTTTTCTTGTCAGGTAGAGTAAAACTTTAGAGAGAGGGTGTGGAAAGAGAGAAAGAGACAGAAATAAAGAGAGACAGAGAGAGAGAGAGCGAGAGAGAGAGAGAGAGAAAAAGAGAGCGAGAGGGGGGTGAGAGAGAGAGAGAGAGACGTAGAAAGAGACAGAGACAGGA